AAAGCATTGTTTGTACTTCTTCCAAGACAACTTTGTTCAGTCTTCTAACTGCCGACTGCTTATTATTCAATATTACATTACAATACCATAATGTTAATGCATCAATTCTTTTCCAGTCTCTTATACTCATTTTACAGCTCCTGTTACTATAATATTCCCTTAATACTTCCAATAGAAATAAATCAAAATAATTAATCACCAAACAAATTAGAATGAAGAAGATGCTTGGGGTCTAAGGGGGTTGGGAAAAGAGGTTACTAATGTATGTGTTACTGCTCTAAAGAATGCAACTTTGTGTCAAGACTGAGATTCTACGTCCCCTTGAAAGATACTACATCTGTATAGAGATATTAAAACCCACCTAAATTTACTTATTGTCAGGGAAATGATCCCCCCATATGATTTAACATAAAAGTTAACATATCTATTAGCAATTCAAATGAAAATCTAACAGGAAACCTTCCAATCTCTACAATTTCAGGTCTAAAATACTTCTCAAGATGGAAATAGCAGGAACCGATCACAATGATCCTCATATAACCCCCTTCCAGGGAGACAGACAATAGAAAAGTGGGTGAACGGAGCCATCAGTCAGTGTTAAGACATGAAAAAATAATAATAATTTATAAATTATCAAGGGCTCATAAGGGAGGGAGGCAAAAAATGAGCTGATACCAAAGGCTCAAGTGAAAAGCAAATGTTTTCAAAATGATGATAGCAACATATGTAGAAATGTGCTTGACACAATGGATGGGTGTGTGGATTGTGATAAAAACTGTATGAGCCCCAATAAAATGATTTTTAAAAGAATGAAATTAACAGTCAAAACCTATAGGACCAGTGGTGTGAGTGGCAAAACAGGGAGGGTAAAGGGAGAATGGGTAGGAAAGAGGGAACCGATTACAAGGAACTGTGTGTGACCTCCTCCCTGGGGGACAGACAACCAAAAAGTGGATGAAGGGAGACGTCGGACAGGGCAAGATATGACAAAATACCCATTTATAAACTATCAAGGGCTCATGCGGGAGGGGGGAGCGGGGAGGGAGGGGGAAAATGAGGACCTAATGTCGGGGGTTTAAATGGAGAGAAAATGTTTTGAGAAACGATGTACAAATGCGCTTTACACAATTGATGTGTGTATGGATTGGGATAACCGTTGTATGAGCCCCTAATAAAATGTTAAAAAATAAAATAAAATAAAACTGAAATGGAAATCAAAAAAAAAAACCAACACCTAATAGTATGCTTCTCCATAAACAAGATAAGAGACATTAAAATTAAGGGGTTTTCCTGTCAATGCAATTCTTACAAATATTACAATAGTGAACTGAATCTTCTTATTCCCTCCCAGGAAAACCAAAAATAGATTCCTTGCTACTACCATAGTAACCAAGACAGGTCTTCTATACCACCCAAGTTCTTACCAGAAACATTCTCAGTAGAAAGGAGAAGAGGACCAACCACTGGGAGTTTGGGAAAACAGTGTTGGCAAACTTTTCTTTCAATTCATATTTAAAGATTCCTAAACCACAAAATCTGTTTAACCTAATGTTTCTTAAACATACAGAACACAAGAAATGTATTTTGTGGAAAAGTCTTCAAATCAGAAAAGGTCTCTATTAATTCTTTAGTATTTTTATGACTTGTTGAAAAATATCATAGAATTACTACCAGGCATAAATTAGAAACATACTACCTATAATTCTAATTCTATAATAAACTTCAGTAACTTATGGTTTTTATAAAATCGTATTAGGAAAATACAAACCTGCATCTGAAAAATATATAGATAAGGAAATGAGGGGCTCATTTGTATAAACATTTTCTACTCATACACATAGTACAACTTAGTAACTTAGTATTGTATTTAAGACCAGTGTCTGAAACTTAAGAGATAAAGTAGGTCAATTCTGATATAGATTGACACTAGCTTCAGTAACTAAGTGTCAGCTAGGCATATAAACACCATAAAGAATTACAGCACACACAAAAAAACCAACAAAATTAACTAATAGTACACTATACATAAACTAGAAAGAATATCACATCTGTTTAGCAAAGCCTTTAATTTGTACTAACAACAACTCTGTAGGTCTGGATAAATATTATTAAGAAAAAGACTTCATAATTACAGGATAAGGTAGAAGATTGTTATAACTCACAAGTAAGTAATAATTTTAACATAGAAGAGGGGGAAAATGTTAAATTGGAAACAAACCTGAGATTCAACTAAAAAAAAACCCAGTTCAAATTTTCTTTTGATTTTCTTAATAACACTAGTAAATGAATTCAGTCACAGGTAGCTGAGATTCAAACTAGTTATAAGATTTAAAAAACTATTAGCAAGCTGACAAATTTAGTCTTTCTGTTGCACTTCAAAATAATGTCTTCTTGTATTTCTTTAAAATTCACAATAAGTTATATGAAATTCTCATCTATTCTCAGTCTGTTTAAGAATAAACTTTCTGATGAGGAGCAAAACCATAGAAGTATCCTATTGGTTGGGTACAAAAAGTAGCTTCTTTGATTTTAAGAAAAACTGCTCTATAAAAAAAGACCAGTGTTTTCATTTGCATGAAGTTCCGAATGAAACCAATCCCGTGGCATTTCAGAGCTAAGGAACTGAGACAAAAGTGAAAACAACAAACTTACAGGATGGATACTTAAGGATAACAACTTCAATTCCACTTGGGAAATAATCAGTAGGCAAGTTCTGTCCCAAAGAAAATGTAAATAATTGAATCATATAAGAATTTAAGCTGAATGTATAGTTAAGAATTATGCTTTAAAATCAGGAAATAAACACCCAGTCACATAATGGGTTTATCTATTACTCTCTTAGCACGCTTCCCTTCACACTGGTCTATGAAGTTACTGGCCTTCCTGTTGGTCCTCTAGTGGACCTCGTCTTGACCCTTCTGCCCTACATCCAATGTTCTCTCTCCCACTCTTTGCTCAACTGTCATCTTCTCAAAGAGGCCTCATTGGATACGCTCTCTAAAGAAGCTCTCCCATGATTTAATTCAAGCCATAAGTCATAGCACTTAAAATAAGAGTTTGAGACACAATTCTCAGTAAGTGGTACACTGAATCTCAATTTCAATACTACAAAACAAATCTAATAATTAAAAAACAAGTATATGAGCAAATTGTCTAATATTTTATCCTTATCTAAATCCTAGGAGGGAAAAATCTTTCAGAATCAGATGCATCATAGCTGCTTCTGAAAACAGTTGAGTGAAGCAAGACAAATTCCAAGTAGATGTAAAGAGGCATCCTAAGTTTGAAAAATCACAACGAATATAAGGTGTGTCAAAAAGTATTGCTACGTGATCACAGAAATTTTTACAAAACAATAATACCAAATGCAAAGCTATTGCTTTTCATAATCTCCACTGGGGTCTATACATTTCTGAAGGGGGTGTTTCCATCTCGAGAGCCCTTTCCTGAAGAAATCTACACTCTTCAATCACACTTCATCAAAATGGAAGTCTGAGCATCCTTAGAGGGCTCGAAACAATGTTTCTTTTCTTTAGTTTTTGGAACATATCTGAAAGGACAAGATTAAGACTATAGGATATACGAGGTTTTCCAACAAAATGGTCATAGAGCAACCTTTCTACCATTAAACAATGAGCAGGTCCACTGCTACAATGAAAAAAAATTTCCTTGGCACAATTTTCCTTGTCCTTTTTCTCACCAAAGAAAATCTATCAAGGTTATCCCTTAGATTTCCAAAATAACAGTTGCCAAAAAAATCGGAGCTAAGCCTCTCTGCCTTGAAATTAACTGGGCAGTAAGGTCCCTTTGGAAGTCACTATTCTGATTGCACCTTTTTTTTTTTTAAGGTACTCTAACTACACTAAGACAATTGTTTTTCTGTCAGAAACTGTCTGCAGCCATTCACTGATCAAAAGACATGTTTAAACAAGCTTTATTTGGAATAAATCTGTGCATGTATAAACTAGATTTCTAGTAGTATTAATTTTTACTTACTCTCATATAAATTACTCTGTTATACTAAATTCTTAAGGAGCTGACAATTCACAAATAAAACAGAGTTTTGCTCAATGCTTAACCAACTATGTCATCAAGGCTCTAAATTATGCAAAGCAGCAGTACAGAAGATATAATGCTCTATTCACTATGTATGCAATAGAAAGTTAACGTATTTCCTATTCTACATCACCATCATATCATCAACCAAATAAAAAGCAAATGTGTATAAAGAGAAGTTGGTCATAACATTTAGCAACAGCCATCTTCGGGAGATTAAAAAAATAAATATTGCTAAAAGTGAACCAGACATGGCTTATGGACACTCAAAAGCATTCAATTCCATCATATAGGTACTTTGTTAAGTATTTCAGCCACAATAGCCTATTTTTTACTCTAAGTTTTTAAAAAGGGGATTGTAAAACTTAAAGAACATATAATTATGGCAAAAGGACTCTCCCAATCTGGACCTTGTAACTCCTCACTGTTATTAAATAGTCTAATCAGTTAAACATCTGGCATCATTTTAAGTTACTCAAACAGAATTTGTTTAAAAATACCCAGTTGAATTACAATAGAAAATCAAAATCACAACATTCATGTATCAAATAATTGATCACACACAATTATATGCAAAAATGGCCATTTAAAAAAATGCAAGCAACATCTTATTTTATTGCAATCAGTATTTGGAAAAAACTCTGGTCAAGTTGAAGCTTTGTGGCAATCCTGCATCAGCGAAGTCTATTGAAACAATTTTTCCAACAACATATGCATATTTCGTGTCTCTAGGTACTACTGAAGTTATTACACACTTAACAGACGAGAGTGCCACTGTGCACCAGGAAACCAAAATATTCATGTGACCCGTTTGATTGCATGGTCTACAACCATCCACAAAATCTCTGAGGTATGCCTCTACTAGAAAACCAATTTTAAAAAATTATGTGCTACTCACATAAACTGCTTGGAACAAAGACCCTCTGCCATCAATATTAACTTACCGTTACAGACTTCAGTGTCATACCATGGTAGGTGCCCATCGTGTCAATTTTGAAACCTTCCGTTTCTACAAAGAAAAGAGGTATACTGCTGAATGTTATGTATTTCATTATTGATAGCAAATGTACAGTAATAAAATACATTATGGCTGAAAGTTCAATAGTATAGCAATGCCTTCAACCTGCTATACACACGAAATTAGGTTACATACTAATGAAAATAAAACTTATAGAAGGGTACTCCAATCTAAACTCATTGCCATAAAGTATAACTGCCTCTGTGAGTTTATAAGGCAATATATCTGCATGGGAGCAGAAAGCCTCATCTTTTTCCTGGGGAAACTATGTTCAATCTACTGACTTTGTGATTTAGCAGCCTAACTCGTAACCCACTATACCACTAGAGATTCTTATATACCAACAAGCCTTTTTTGGGGAAGACTCTCTTAAAATCAAGTGTTAAAGAGTTGGTTGGGAATATAAAAAATTAGATGGAATCATTTATAGCAACCACATTGTTTATTTCCAGACATGATTATACTATGATATACCAGTCAGTATGATAAAAAACAATGTTCTAAGTAGCATCAAAGTCTTTTCTTAAACTAATAAAAAGGTTGTCTTCTAAGGTATAATCATAAAGCATATATTTTTCATTTTATAGAAAAAAAAATTGTAACTAGTGGTAGGGGTTTCAGAACAGAGTCCTAATATGTTTTATATGAGAGGTCAGCAACTTTTTCTCTGTGAACCATATATACACTATATTCTTTGAATATTGTGGATGGTCTCTGACACAACTACTACATTCTGCAATCATACAGTAAGAGTAGTTTAGACAATCTATTTAAAAAGATGGGGCTGCAATTCAAAATATCAGAAAGCAACAAGTGTTGGAGGGGCTGTGGGGAGAGAGGAACTCTCATCCACTGCTGGTGGACTTATAAGTATGTACAACCACTATGGAAATCAATCTGGTGATATCTAAAACAGATGGAAACCGAGTTACGAGTTACCGTAGGACCCAGCCATCGCCCTTCTGGGCATATACCCAGAAGAGGCAAGAAACAAACCAAGGCCAGACATCTGTGCTCCAATGTTCATTGCGACACAGTTCACAATTGCAAGCAGTTGGAAACAACCCAAATTTCTATCAACTGACAACTGGATTAAAAAACTGTGGTATATACATACAATGGAGTACTACGCATCACTAAAAATCAATGATGAACGTATAAAGCACATCGCTGCATGGGAAGAACTGGAGGAAATCATGCTAAGCGAAGTTAAGTCAAGCACAAAAGGACAAGTACAACATGAGTCCGCTGAGCTAAGCTTTTCTAAAAAAATGCAAAAGGGGCATAGGGTAAAAGCTACTGTATACAAATATTCCTGGAGTGAGGGCCAGGTAATATGGCAGGGACCAGATCAAATACAGGGATACACAGGGTAGACAACTAAAAAGGAGGTGGGGAAAGGAAAAAAAAATACTACTACTAATAATAATAAAGAAAATGAGTAGTGGGGGCACAGGGCAATAACCCACCCAAGGGGAGGGTACTGCTTATATCTACACAAGGAAAAGAGGGACCAGACTTCAACCCAGTGCTCCCAGATGTGAATACAACATGCCGGCGTGGAGGAGGGAACCAGTGGAGAGGTGTGTGTTCATTGTGTGCTCACCTCCATGATACAACTGCGGGAGACAAATAGGTGCATAAGCAAATGTGGTGAAGAAAGCTGATGGTGCCCGGCTATCAAAAATGATACAGCGTCTGGGGTCTTAAAGGCTTGAAAGTAAACAAGCGGCCATCTAGCTCAGAAGCAACAAAGCCCACATGGAAGAAGCACACCGGTCTGTGCGATCACAAGGTATCAAAGGGATCAGGTTTCGGGCATCACCAGAATAAAAAATCTTACCATAGTGAATGAGGGGGGGGCGTGGGGAGTGGAGACCCAAAGCCCATTTGTAGGCCACTGGAGATCCTCTTGCAGAGGCGTCTCAGGGAGGAGATGAGGCAGACAGGGTGCGATGTAGCAACGATGAAATATACAAATTTCCTCTAGTTCCTAAATGCTTCCTCTCCACCACCACCACCCCCGCGACTATCATGATCCAAATTCTACCCTGCTAGTCTGGCTAGACCAGAGGTGTACACTGGTACGGATAGGAACTGGAAACACAGGGAATCCAGGGCGGATGATTCCTTCAGGACCAGTGGTGAGAGTGGCAATACTAGGAGGGTGGGGGGAGGGTGAGGTCGAAAGGGGGAACCGATTACAAGGATCTACATGTGACCTCCTCCCTCGGGGACGGACAACAGAAAAGTGGGTGAAGGGAGATGTCGGACAGGGCAAGATATCACAAAACAATAATTTATAAATTATTATCAAGGGTTCATGAGGAAGCGGGGAGGGAGGGGAAAAAATGAGGGCCTGATGCCAGGGGCTTAAGTTGGAGAGGAAATGTTATGGCAATGAATGTACAAATGTGCTTTACACAACTGATGTATGTATGGATTGTGATAAGAGTTGTATGAGCCCCTAATAAAACGATTCAAAAAAAAAAAAGATGGGGCTGACCTGATTGAGCCAATCAGTGAAGGGGTAAATTCTATCTGCAAACTACAATTGCAAAACCCTGTTTAATATAATTTTTATAAGATAAACCTTGCACAAATAAAAAATTGAACTACTTTATCCAGTAAATGAAGACGAAATACAAAAACAAGGCAACATGACTTTTACTGATAAATTTGAGTGGCTATTTCATGATCCAGAAACTACTAACTGAAATTCTAGCTATTCCTATCCGATATTTTCCCCTAATTATCAGCAATGTGAATAAAGACCACTAGGGGAAATTGGTCTCACCTAACTAAATTGAGCCTCACTTTATCAATTTTTAAAAATGGCTCACTATTTATTGCATTATATCATCTACATTCCAAAACCAGTCTTCTTATCACTGCGCCTTGTTTATGTTTTCCAAATTCTCAATTTACAAACTTCAAACTTGAAGCACAGGACATATTGAAAAATATTATATCTATTGTAAAGAGAATTTCCACTTAAGATGTTTTAAAAGTTTTAAAAATGAAATTACTATTGGTAACAGCATTTATAGAAAGCGTATCACATACCAGGTACTATTCAAATTACGTTCTTAACTAATCTTTACAATATTAAAAGTGAGTTTCTAGTAGTAATATTGTAATTTTTATGTATGAGGAAATGAAGATAGAATATAGTTGAAAAATTTGCAACCATGCACACAAAAAAAGGTGACACAGATGAGCCCAGAATCCATGTTGCTAAGTAGGAGTTAACAAATGTTTTCTGTAAAAGGACAGATAATGAATACTTTAGTCTACACAGGCCATATTGTTTTTGTAGCAACAACTCAAGTGCGCTATCATAGTGCTACAACAGCCATGGACAAGACATAAAATGTATGAACATGCTGAGTTATCTTAAAATGTCATTGATCAAAATCGTGTGATACAGATTTGAACTGCACACCTTAGTTTATCAACCCCTTCTTTTATCCATAAGACTATATTGTCTCTTAAATTCATTGTAGTCACTGTAAGCTAAAGATTAAAATTAAACAGCTCACCTTCTTTTCCTTTAAATCTTTCCTGGTCATATCTATTGTAGGCAGCAGGAATAGGTTGTTTGCTCCTCAATGTGGGATCCTATAGAAAAGTAAATTATGTTAATATATTTATATTTTACTTATTTAGTACTTATATTAAACACTGTGATAGGAATATTTGTTCTCTAAGCTTTTTGCTTATTACCAACAATGCAAAGAGCAAAGTAGAAACCACCAGTAAATTCTAGAGCAGTGGTTCTCAACTTTCCTAATGCCACGACCCTTTAATATAGTTCTTCATGTTGTGGTGAACCCCAATCATAAAATCATTTTCGTTGCTACTTCATAACTGCAATTTTGCTACTGTTATGAACCGTGATGTAAATATCTGATATGTAGGATCTATTTTCATTGTTACAAATTGAACATAATTACAGCATAGTGATTAATCACAAAAACAATATTTACATATTGTTATTTATATTGTGAAATATTCATTTCTAATTACAAATAAAAGAAATTTTGTCTTGAAGCATGGTATAGTGCGGGTAACAGTCTTCACGCCTGGTACTGATGTGTGGGTGTATCTGCATGTGGGTGAACCCGCCTAGAGACGGATAGAGAAGCAATGTCTCGGTTCTTAAAACCATTGGAAATGTGTCTTCTGAGGGTCTTAGGTGAGCCCTGTGAAAGGGTCATTCGATCCCCAAAGGAATTGCAAACCACAGGTTGAGAACCGCTGTTCAAGAAGCATCTTGTTTATTTCCAGGAAATACCACCTAGAGCTGGGAGAAGAAAAACAATCCCTACTGCATACACAAAGATAAGAAAAATAATTTAAAACTGCAGATAAAACAGCTGTGCTTGAAATTTTCATTCTGAAGTAAAAGGAAATAGAGGAAAGAACTAGGAGGCAATAAACATTTAAAGAGGTATAAATATAGGCATGTATTTATGTAACTATATTGACATATATGATCGGGATATGTGTCTATGTACAAATATGTACATCTTTTAAGTATTTAAGTAGCAGACGGACATTGGGTCTCTACTCCAGCCCTTCCTCAATGCAAGAACACTTTGTTCTAATAACCTGGCATTCTGCAATGCCCAACATCCCGACACAACACGATCGCTGAAAACAAAATGGGTGCATAAGCAAATTGGTGAAGAAAGCTGATGGTGCCCAGCTATTAAAAGATACAGCATCTGGGGTCTTAAAGGCTTGAAGATAAACATGTGACCATCTAGCTTGGAAGCAACAAAGCCCACATGGAAGAAGCACACCAGCCTGTATGATCACGAGGTGTCAACAGGATCAGGTATCAGCCATCAGAAGACCCAAAACAAACCATCATATTGATGCAAATAAGGATGGTCAGAGAGGAGACCCAAAGCCCATCCATAGAAAATTGAACATACCTTCACAGAAGGGTCACAAGGAAGGGACAAGTCACCCGGGGTGCAGTATAGCACTGGTAAAACACATAACATTCATCTAGCTATTTAATGCTCCCCACCTGCCTCATCAATACCCCAGTTCTACTTTACAAATCTGGCTAGACTGAAGCATCCACATTGGTATACATAAGAGCTCTCGATACATACAATCTAAGACAGATAAAACCCTCAAGAACAGTAATGGGAATATAAATACCACGAGGGAAGGGGGAAGAGGGAGAAAGAGAGAACTGATCGCAATGATTAATGTATAACCACCACCACCACCCCAACCTCAAGAGGGATGAACAACAGAAACAGGGGTGAAGGAAAACAGCGGTCAGTTAAGATAGGAAAATAATAATAATTTGTAATTTTTAATCAAGGGGCCACAAAGGTGGAAGGGTGGGGGGCAAGGGATAAAGAGAGGAGCTGATAATCAGAACTCAAGTAGAAAGAAAATGCTTTGAAAATAATGATGGCAACACATGGACAAATGTGCTTGACACAATGGACTGTATGTATGGATTGTGATAGGAGCTGCACGAGCTCCCAATAAAATTATTAAAAACATTTTTTTAAATGAGGGGGAGTGCAGAGTGGCGACCCAAAGCCCATCTGTAGGTAACAGGACACCCCCTTACAGAAAGGTCGCAGGGAGGAGACAAGCCAGTCAAAGTGCAATGTGGCAACAATGAAACCTACAACTTTCCTCTGATTTTTAAATGCTTCCTCCACCCACTATCATGATCCCAATTCTACTTTACAAATCCTGCTAGAACAAAGGATGTACACTGGTACAGATAGAAACCAGAAACACAGGGAATCCAGGACAGATGATCCCTTCAGGACCAGTGGTGAAAGCAGCGATACCAGGAGGGTGGAGGGAAGGTGGGGTAGAAAGGGGAAACCGATTATAAGGACCTGCATATAACCTCCTCCCTAGGGGACAGACAACAGAAAAGTGGGAGAAGGGAGACGTCGGACAGTGTTAAGACATGACAAAATAATAATTTATAAATTATCAAGGGTTCATAAAGGAGGGGAGTATGGGGAGGGAGGGGGAAAAAATGAGGAGCTGATGCCCGTGCTGCTTCTCAATTCAGACTAGACCGGATCTTGTACACAGATAGAGCTAAGAGATGGGGTCTCACGACACACAGAATCCAGGAACAGGAGTGGGAATAGCAATTGAGAACAGAAGGGTAATGGGAAGGAGGGGAGAGGAAGGGAGAAAGAGGAAAACGGATCGCAATGATCGACAGATATCCATACATCCCTCTCCAGGGGTAGAACAATAATTTATAATCTATGAAGGGGTCTTGGGGTGTGGGAGGTGGAGGCGGGGGGGAGGGGGGGGACTGATACCAAGGACTCAATAGAAAATAAATGTTTTGAAAATTATGATGGCAACATAGGTACAAATATGCTCGATACAACTGATGTATGGACTGTGTTATAAGAGCTTTAAGAGCCCTCAATAAAATGACCGTTCAAAAAAAAAATTTTTTTTAACTTAAAACTACGGTAACTCTAACCCTTAACGCTTACTCCTTAACATAGGTGTTATCACTTAAGCCTTGAAACCTAACCCTAATTCTAACTCTAATCCTTAACACAGATATTATCACTTAACCCCTAAAGCTAAACCTAACAATAACCATAAACCTCACACTAACCCTAACAGAAACCCTACCCTAACCCTTACCCTAAACTTAATGCCAAACCTAACCCTAACACAAACCATAACCCTAACTCTTAAATTTAAAAAGCAAAAATTAGAGCCTTGGAAATTCCATACGGCAATTCCACTCTGTCTCCTAGGATCACTAAATCAGAATCAATTCAACAGCCAGGGGAGTTGGATTTTTAACTAATTACTCAGAAAACTGTTAATATTTAAATTAAAAAATATAATCAGAATGATTTAAAAACCCACTGCAAGTGTAGAGTAAGACTAAAATAATAAAAATGTTATTTTGTTTAAATGCTTAGAGCTGCTACTCTGATGAATAATATAATTGACAATTTTTTTGTCTAAAACTCAGTACACCATAATCTATAATTAGCATATTTAAAGAAGATTCCAGCCAATGTAATAATTCACATAGCCTTTATTCATCTAAAACTCATAGTATGAAAAAATGTTTAAAAAATTACAATTTTTAAATGTTTCCATAAAACTTATGGTAAAACATTTAGTCTAAAGGACCATATGAACGCTATCTCACAACCCTGAGACCCGAACTAGGTGATGCCTGGCTACCACTGCTAGTTCCTCTGAAAGGGCTCGTAGGAAGAACTAAAATAAGAGTGGGAGGAAAATGTGGAACCAATCTCAAACTCATAGAAAAGACCTGGCATGCTGGTCTAATAAGTATTGATACAATCCCACCAAATGTAGCCCTTAAGACATTCTTCAAGCCTGGAACTGAACTCACTCCCATGGCTCAACTTTCAGCCAAACAATAGATAGGCCTAGAAAGTGAACAAGAACACCAAAGAGGTACATACTGTACTTTCTAGAACCACCACAGGAGATGAAATGGATACCATCTGCCTAGAGAAAAAGCTCAAATGGCAGGAAGTGGGGGCAAAGAGAGATAAATGGAAATATATGGAAGAAATAAAGAGTAAAGTCACACTGTGGGGACTGCACAATCAATATCATGAATAAAAACATCTAAGCATTGCTGAATGGTAAACTTTTTTGCTGTAACAACTTTCACCCACAATAAAATGCTTAAAAAGAGAAAAAAAGAATGAGTAAAAAGGGATGAGAAAGGGAAGATCTAAGAAGCAAAATACAGAGAGAAAAAAGTAGTACAAAACTGCCAATAAAGTGGGGGAGGTGCTTGACTGGCCACCAAATGAGTTGGAAATAGGGGATCAAAAAAAAAACACTATTTCCAAAACTGCTCAAGAAAAAACACTCTCCACTTGTTTACACCTTACCAGAGAATTCCATCCCAAGTATTATTTCAAATAGAAGTTATGAAAACAATCACTACATAAATTATTCTATAGTCAAGAGCCAAGTATTCATATTTCAATGTATTCTAAGGATTATGGAAACAAAAGCAAAGACTGTTCATAAAGAAAAAGCCAAGTTACCTATCAAAGATGTAGCATATATCTTCCAACAACTCCCATCCAAAAGGTCAACCAATTCATGCTTAAAAATACCCTGAGCTTTAACATAACAACCCCTGTCCTTCCGTCTTTTCTCTCATCTCCATTGCCAACAAACTACAAGTTCAAACAGAAAGTACGTAATTTTTTTACTCTGATTATCTCAAGATCCCAACTGAACAAACACCAATCACTTAAATCCTGAGAATCAAATAAAAGTTTTTGTCTAAATATTAGCAAAATGCAACTAACTTTACAAGGATTTTCAATGATTTGCATAGACAATACTACTAGATATTGGAAAGACTATATTAGCACAATAATATTTACAGATACTTTTTAAATACTTATATAATATAGAAACAATTTTATCCCTTTAATGTCATTTTTTAAATACCTTAGCTTTTCAACAAAAATGGATGGACGGCAAGTGTGAATTTAAATATATGTTATGTCATAGATGAAATTCACTGTTTGGGAAATCCCTAAGTGAACCTCAAAGAGTGAGGTGGGCAATCCTCTGCGTAG